CACACACACAGACAGAATACCTCACGTTGCGTCTGATTGAAAATCAGATCCAGGAACCGATCGGACCAGACAGCTGACCGTCACATCGGGTTTCATGCTCCAGTATTGAGTCAAATCATTGATCAGGTCATTGATGTGTTTCTAGTCTCTGATCCTGTGACACCGATCGGTGTTCAGTGTAACCGGGGGAGGGGCTACTAGCATTAGCCGCATGGCTAACAAGGCTACATTTTGATGCGTTCAGGCTCTGCTCGGTGAAATGTAGTATTGATGAGACGCTTTAATGATGCAGGCTGCTTTCAGAACAACATGAGTACGTCGACCCGGACGCATTTACAGCTGTTACCGCCCCCCCCCGTCCCCCCCCCGCAGGCTCAGGTGTACAAGACCAACCACATCATCATGACCATGGGATCGGACTTCCAGTACGAGAACGCCAACCTGTGGTACAAGAACCTGGACAAGCTGATCCGCTACGTCAACGCGCAGCAGGCGCGCGGCGGCCGGGTCAACGCGCTCTACTCCACGCCGTCCTGCTACCTGCAGGAGCTGCACCGGGCCAACCTCAGCTGGTAGCCTGCGCCGCCACAGCACGCCAGACGTTCCCGCCGAGGCCTCATTCTCATGTCATCTCTTGTTGTTGTTGTTGTTGTTTTTTAACGCAGGGCTCTGAAGACGGACGATTTCTTCCCCTACGCAGACGCCGCCCACGACTACTGGACCGGGTACTTCACCAGCCGGCCGGCGCTGAAACGCTACGAGAGGATCAGCAACGGCCGCCTGCAGGTAGCACGAGGCCCGAAACGCCCCCAAAAGAAAGAAAACCCGTGCGACCGCATGACGGCGTCATCGCTCCGTTAGCATGTTGTGCTACGTTAGCGTTCATCCTCTCAGGTTTCCTCTCTGCGTCTCCACAGACGTGTAACCAGCTGGAGGTCCTGGGCGGGCCGATCTCCAGGAACGGACCCTTTGGGAAGGGCGACAGCGAGACCATGAGTGAGCTTTAGCCGCGGCGTTTGGGGGGCGGGGTCATCCTGATCTATGATTGGCATGTTACAAAGCGCTGTGTGCTCTCAGAGAAAGCCGTGGCGGTGGCTCAGCACCACGACGCCGTCTCCGGCACGGAGAAGCAACACGTAGCCGACGACTACGCCAGGAGGCTGGCGAGCGGCTGGCAGCGCTGTCAGGTACGGGCGGGCGGGCGGGCGGGGGAGGGGGGGGACGTGCCGTGACCGAAGTGATGCGCCGGGCTCTGACTTTTTCCTTTTTTTTGGGCGCCTCAGGTCCTGGTGAGCAACAGCCTGGCGGCTCTGAGCGGCTCGACTGCCAAGCGGATCTACTGCGACAACCTGAACATCAGCGTTTGTCCCCTGACCGAGTCCAGCAAGAAGGTGACTCTCACACACACACACGCACACAGACACACACGGGGACTCCAGCGGCGTGCAGGGAGACATCAAGTGGTTTCCTCTCAGTTCTCAGTCAACGTGTACAACCCTCTGGTTCGCGCCGTCATCTGGCCGGTCAGACTGCCGGTGAACGGAACATCGTACGAAGTCTCGGACGCTGAAGGAAGATCCGTGGACTGCCAGGTGTGTGTGTGTGTGTGTGTGTGTGTGAGAAAATTGCATCTAGTGTTCCTGGTGTGTGTCGCCCGTTCTTCTGTCACGCGGCGGTTGTCGTTGTCGTTTCTGCCTCCAGGTGGTTCCGGTGTCGGCGGAGACGCAGGTGGTGAGGAGGAGCCGAGGCTCCGCCCCCAACGAGCTGGTGTTCCAGGTGCGGGCTCCTCCTCTGGGCTTCAACACCTACTCCGTGTCCCTGCTCCGGGACGGGCCTCCGCCGGCGCCCGCGCAGCGCCGCGCGCCCACCGCCATCCAGAACCAGGTACTTTTAGGTGGTGATGTGCTCAAGGGCCGTGGGAAAATTGAGACTCCTTTTTATGTCTGAAAGTACACGTGAGGCCTTATGAGTTTTTCCGTGTCCGCCTGCTCCAGTTCCTACGAGCGACCTTTGACCCCGCCACCGGCCTCTTGAGCGGCCTCAGCAACCTGGAGACCAAACGGACCATAAAGCTGACTCAGAACTTCTTCTGGCGAGTCTCTCGCCCTCATCTTCTTCTTCTTCCTCCTCCTGAAATGTAACGTGCCCACACACACACCTTTTCGCTGGTCGGGTTTAATCGTTTTCCCGCGCGTCGCAGGTACAACGCCAGCGACGGCAACAACACGCGGAGCAACCAGCCGTCGGGGGCCTACATCTTCAGACCCAACTCCTCCACCCCGTTCCTCATCAGCCCGGCGGCCAAGACGGAGGTCATCCAGGTAGAGACGGAGCGGACGGGGACGCTGTGTCGGTGCTGGTTGTTTGTCATCGAAGCTGATGCGAAGTGTCTCGTGTCTCCCCCCCCAAAGACCCCCGTGCTGCAGGAGGTCAGGCAGTGGTTCGCCCCCTGGGTGTCTCAGGTGGTTCGTCTCCACGCGGACAGCAGAGCCCTGGAGCTGGAGTGGACCGTCGGGCCGCTGCCCATCCGGTGAGTGCGCGTGTTGGCCTCGTGCACAAGGAGTACGGGTTCCCCGTTCCGTTGAACAACCAATCAGTGTCTAGTTCAACAGGAAGAGGAGCTAGTAGCGTTAGCAGCGCGGCTAACGGCTAACCACCGGAGGCTCCCGTCAGTAGCGGCGTGATGACACCGATTCAGTGACTGTAACTTGCACCAAAGACGTGTTACTATTGATCCTCAGTGATCAGACTATAATCTCTCGGTGTCAAACCGTCCTCTCTCTCAAAGGGACAACTTGGGGAAGGAGGTGATCACTCGTCTGGACACCAGCATCAAAACCGCCGAGTATTTCTACACCGACTCCAACGGCAGAGAAATGCTGCAGAGGAAGTAGGATGGTTGAACATCTTCAATAGCCTGAAGGAACGAGTCAAACCTTTTGTTAACGCGTGTGTGTGTGTGTGTGTGTGTGTCCTAAAGGAAAGATTTCCGGCCCACTTGGAAGCTTCGTCAGTCGGAGCCCATCGCTGGGAACTATCATCCAATCAACTCGCGCGCCTTCATCAAGGTGAGCGGCGAGGAGTTCATCATTGACGGTGTTTCAAAACCGTAAATCACCAGAATAATTTCTTCTCACTTTCCTCTCAGGCTTCTGTAGTTTTTCCCTCAAACAGAATAGTAATAATTCTAATAAACTTCCTTCCTTCAGGACGATGAGGACCAACTCACGGTGGTGACGGATCGCTCTCAGGGGGGGGCCAGCATCCACAACGGCTCTCTGGAGATCATGGTGGGACACACACACACACACACACACACACATTTAGACAAACCCACGCGTGCTAACCCCCCCCCCCTCCCCTCAGCTCCACCGCCGGCTGCTGTACGACGACGTGCGCGGCGTGGCCGAGCCGCTCAACGAGACCTCCTCGGTGTTCCCCGAGGGTCTGGTGGTCCGAGGCCGCCTCCTCCTTTCCCTCCAGCGGCCGGACGGCGCCGCCGACGCCCACCGGCCGCTGGCCCAGCAGGAGGTGCTGCAGCCCACGCTCTCCTTCACCGACGGGGAGCCGCACCCCAACACCCGGCTGCAGGTGAGGGGGGCGGAGGGGGAGGGGACCTCAGACCATTCTAGAGTCACCGTATTGTTGACTTGCAATGATTGGGATCCGGCTGACCTCCGTCCCTGGTCCTCCTCTGTAGTTCTCCGCGCTGCAGGCTGCGCTGCCCCCTGCTGTGCACCTGCTCACACTGACCCGGTGGGACGAGGACTCGGTGCTGCTGCGGCTGGAGCACCAGTTCCAGAGGCGGGAGAGCAAACTCAACTCGGGGCCGGTCACCGTCAACCTGCAGGTCAGCGATTGGAACCGACTTTTTGAATGCTGGGCCAGTAGACTTTAGCTCCGCCCCGTTCCCGCCGAGGGGAGGTGATGATGATGATGATGATGAAGAGCCGTGTTCTCCTGCTGTGCAGAAGCTGTTTTCCACTCTGGAGGTGCTGGGAGTGTCTGAGCTGAACCTGTCGGCCAATCAGTGGAAAGACGAGATGACGCGCCTTGATTGGACGCCACAGATGGGTATGTGACATCACACACGTGGACTACGTCTCTAGTAGAGACCTGTCAATCATTGTAAGCCCCGCCCCAAAGCATCCCCTGCTTCATGGTCTGTTGGACTCTACGTGGCCCATAATCTACTAAATGAGCATCACGCTGTATTGAAGCCTTAACTAGAGACTGAGACCATAAACCCAGAGAGAAGTAGTGGTTTTTCCAGGAGTCGCCCCCCGGGCGTCACAAAGACGCTTTAATAGTAGCTGCTGGGTGTTGGAGGTGCTCAGAACGGGTTTTATTCATGTTTATTCTCTTTGCTGCTGGTCTGTTAAATCGTTGCATCTATTTTTTTGCAGAGGAGAAGCCCCTGCTGAAGAGGCCTGGAGACCCCTCGGCGTTGGAGGTGACCTTGATGCCGATGGAGATCAGAACCTTTCTGCTGAGGGTCAGATAGCCTTGACCTTCTCTCGCTTGTGATCAAAGAACAGGACATCTGCGTCTCTTCAGGGGAACGGAGTAGATTGTGACTCGTTTCCTCCTCTGCTGCCTTTTTGTTGTGGATCCTAAATATCACAATCACAGAAATCCTTACAGACCATTGATTCCAACAGGAAATGGTGCCAATAAGTGTGAATAGTTTGAACATTTTTTTTTTTTTTACTGATTGACCAGCAATTGATGATAATAAAATCTTCATTGTTACTTTGTCTCCACTTGAACCTGAGTCTCTCTGTACGCGTTGGACTCTTTCCAGAGTTCATATTGACTATAGAATATTCATAATAACAGTGAATTCATGTTGTTCTACATTTCTATTTCGTAAAAGTATTAATTATATAATATATAAAAAGATTAAGCCCAGCAGGGGGAGATGTTAGCGGCTTTGATCAGACTGAGCTCCCTGCAGCTACTGAACCACCAGTTAAAACTTCACCAGAGGAACAAAAGAATTAATTATATTCAGCGGGAGGATTTTTATTGGACTCAAAGTAGAAATAAACAAAAGCTCCAGAAATGTCCATGTCCTTTTTTTTCATCTGTCCAAACGCAATCTTCAGAAATAAAATGACTAAATCAAACAAAAAGCCCACTTCGATCTCCTTTAGACCTCGGTTTTCTCCTCCGGATCGTGGGAGTAGCAGCATTTGTCTCCATGTGCACACGTTCCCTGGAAGAAGGACAAATAATAAATGTCAGTTATCGACGAGCCAGAAGTTCCATCACAGCTCCTGATCCAGTCTGTCCCCCCCAGGAGAAAAGACTGTCTTTAGAGTTAAACCCTGGGTCTGTAGTACCTGGTGCTGCCTGCAGAGGCGCTGTTGCATGAGACGCTTTACCATCGACACTCGGAAGCAGAAACAAATCTCATGTAACCCAAAAGGTCTAAGAACACGCTGCTTTGTGCGTTAGCAACACTCTGCAAATGAGCTCAGGATGTTACTGAAATTTTCCATTAAGCACAAATTCAAAGAGCCATCAGCTGTTTCAGGCGACCCCGAGGGGGGGGGGGGGGCGATGCAGCTGACTAAGAGGACAGTTGAAGTGGGTTTAATGGCGTCATGTCACTCACGGGGAGTTTCCTCTGACCTGTTTGAACCTTTTGCACTGAATGTTTTTCAGCTCCGATTCCGTGATCTGGTTCTTCCTCTTGTTCTGGCACTTCTTGCTCTTGTCCTGCAGGTCGGTGCCGATGCCGCCACTGTGTGTGTGGAGGGAGGGAGGGAGGGAGGGGAGGAGGGGTGAGGAAGCAGCATGTGTGAGCAGCGCGTCTAACGGACGTTTCTCAGTCATTCCTCCTCACTGATCATCGAGGTTCTGTGGTCGTTACCCGGCTTTGGCGCGAGCTTCGGCCCCAGAAGGCTGCGGGTTCTCTTGAAGCGGGTCAGGTGCAGTTTACGGGACTGCGGGTTGGCGTCCTCTCGCACGGTGAAACATGCGTCTGTGCTGCACACACACAGACACACACACACACACACAGTCAGGTTTATACTTCAGCAGCATGAAACGTGGTCATCGGGGTGTCCTGGCGGACTCACCCGGGCTCCCTGGAGAGGATCTTGAAGGCGGGACTCGTCTCCGTCAGCTTCTCCCTCTTCACAGGGTTGGTCTTCTCCTGTGAAAAGCGGGCGCGTGTTTAAAAATGAACCACGCGCAGAATGGCAGCAGGCGCTCGGCGACGGTTACCCAGCAGCGCATGATGTCCCAGATGACTGCAGGAGGAGCGTCCGTCTTGATGGCGTTCTTACAGGCGTGAGAGAGAGACACCTTGTGACCGGCGTGAAGGAGGGCCGACCTGCGGGGGGAGGAGTCAGCGCATCGTGAGATACAAAGATCCTTTATGAGACTGGAATCAGGTGCCAGGCTGCAGGCCAGTTCCCCGAGGGTTCACCTGAACTGGAGCAGGGGGGGGGTGTTGCAGTGGATGGTGCCGCTCAGACTGTCCACGGTGTAGTAAAGAGGCACGTCGTCCAACTCCTGAAGCAAAGAGCGCGTCAGACCCCCACGACGCGGTACACACGACGACGACAACGACGACAACAACGACGACAGTACCTCCGTCACCATGCTCAGCACGCCCTCGATGCGCTTGGACGTCCCGAAGCGGGACGGGTTCCCCGACACGGCCGACAAAACCTTCTGCACGAACGGCAGGTCGTGGATAGGCTCCGCCCAGATGGGACCGCCCAGCTGCAGACACCGGAGACGGTGTGTAATGGTGAACGCGACGCGTGTGTGTGTGTGTGTGTGTGTGTGTGTGCGTGTCTCACCTGGTGTCTCTGCCCACAGTGCTGACACTCTGGTCCAACCGGAGGCCCGATGGCGGGAGAGTACTTGACGCTGAAAGCACAGCAGAGTCCTCCTTACTACGGGGGGTCACGGGTCGGCGCACTAGAAGGGAGAAGCCTTACTTCTTGCCGTTGCTCGTCCTCCGTCCCATCCTCTGCAGGTGGAACGAGCCGCAGCCCACGCAGTTGTAAACCAGAGCCTGCTTACTGCCACACGGGGACGGACAGAGACAAACTGTGACCAAACAGATCCTCCAAGCAGCCGCCCAGACCTCGTTTAGACGCTACGCGATCATTAGTGTGTGTGTGTGTGTGTGTGTGTGTGTGTGTGTGTGTGTGTGTACCTGCATGAGTTCTTGACTGTGGCCTGTCCTGTGAAGACGCGCACAAAGACGCGGATGTAGAAGTCCACGCTGACGCACAGCAGCGGCTGGATGTACCGCTGGTACACGCCCGCCCGCTGGTCCAGGCTGTGGAGGATGATACGAAGAGCCTGCAGGTGGCCGGGGGAGGTGAGGGAGGGAGGGAGGGAGGGCCGGGGGGGAGGCAGACACACACACAGGCTGATCTTCTTGCACGATTTGCCGTTAAATGAAGATCATCAACCTTGAGAATAAGTCGTCGTCCTCCTCAGCAGACTCGCATGAGATGAACGGATGATTGACATCATGACATTTGTGCCTCAGGCCAGAGTCCATGACAACGTTTACTGGGTTTCTGTCACACAGTGTGTGTGTGTGTGTGTGTGTGTGTGTGTGTGTGTGTGTGTGTGTGTGTGTGTGTGTGTGTGTGTGTGTGTGTGTGTGTGTGTGCGCGCTCACCATCTCGTGGCAGTATTTGGCTTTGATGGAGACCGACCCGTACTTGCTGTAGCAGGTCTCACCGCTGTTTCCTGCCATCACCGCCATGTCCGTGCACGTTACGCACAGCAGACCTGACGGAGAGGACGTAGGGGGCGGGGTCAAAGCAGTGAGTGACACTCAAACGAATGACATATTCTGGGGTTCGCGTGCTTTGCAGAGGTCGGTCACACAGAGGCATCAGCTGGAGGATCGGCGCTGTGACCCGGACGCGTCGACCCGGGCGGCTCACGCCGATCTGCTGCTGAGCATCCGACTTTTACAGATGGAGGTACCCACCTCCCTCGCTGACTGACTGCACGGCGGCATCCAAGAAGGAGGAGGGGCTCCCGTAGGGGTCCAGGTCGATGACGTCATAGCGCTCCTTCTTCCCTCGCATCTCGTACATCAGCATGCTGGATGTCAGTGAGAAGAGTGAGAGAAGTCCGGTCGAAGGTTGAAGAGGAGAGAAGGATAAATACAAGAGGAGCGAATCACCGAGGCAGCGCCACGCCCCCCCCTCCCTCCAATGTGGCGAGAGGACCGTACCTGGCGTCCCTGCAGCTGGCATGGAGCAGGTGTCCCACGCCGTTGTACTCGGCGTTCCTGGCGATCAGCGCCGCCGCCTTGGTGGAGAAGTCGTTGGCGGTGACGCTCCGCAGGCCCGGGACCTCCAGGGCGAAGCGCACCGAGCGCAGACCCGACGCCGACAGGCCCTCCAGCACGCGGAGGCCGAGCTGCAACGCAAGGCCGGGGGATTTAAAGGTCTTACAGGCTGAACGGACAGGGGGGACATTTTATCCCCAAAGAGGGTTTTGGGGAGTTTTTTTTCTACAATTTGCCATACAGGGAACCTTATGGCAACCTAAGTGCTAAAGCTGCATTCTCTGCTGTGACCAGCAGGGGGCGACTCCTCTGGTCCCATTGAAGTCTATGAATCAATGTGTTCCCTCAGTAAACATTGTGAACATGAGTTTATGGTCTCAATCTCTAGTGTCCAGTCTTCTTCAATACAGCATGATGTTCATTTGGTAAACTGTTGAGAGGGAAGTCTTCAATGACTTCTGAAGCCATTATTTCACTTCCATAAAATCCTCACACGTTTTCAAAGCCTGATCCAATTACCTCCCTCTGACAGCTGAAGTGTGAAATTACCTCGTGCAACATTAACATAAGCCGTCGGACGGAAACCCTCATCCACGCACCGTGTATTTTTAGCAGGGGAGACCTCGTGGGACTCAAACCCACCAACCCTGCCCGTGTTACGAGTAACGCTCCGGGCTGCACAACCACCACCAACATTGGATTCATCAAGAAAAGAAAATATCATGTTTTCCGCTTCTCTTGAATGACTTTTATGTTCGACTGACAGGCTGTTGCACGTCGCCCTCCCGTACCTCACACCGTTCACCCACCGCCGCAGTGACGGTGGGAGACTCGGCTCGTTTCTTCTCCATCGCCTCGTCGGCCTCCTCCTCCCTCCGACAGAGAGACCACCACCCGCTCCGTCTCGCCCGGCACCACCAGCTTCACCCCGCGCCGAGCCAGCACATCCCTGGCAAACTCTGTGAGCACCGCACACCTGTGACACACGAAAGGATATGAGGAATGAATATCTGACTCTGTGACGCGTGATAACCGAGGCCGACGCAGCAGGACCAAAACGCTTACGTCAGATCCCTGTTAAACTCCTGCACCGGGTTGTAGAACACCTCGTTGGCACTGGGAAACAAGATGGAGGCCTTGCCCTCCTTGACCACCGTCTCCCCGGGCAACAGTCCCACGGGACGCGCCTCCCCTTCAGCCGCCGCGCCCGGAGGCGCCGGGGTCGCGGTGGCCGGGACCCCCGGGGTCGTATCTAGGGGCTCCATGGACGTCGGCCCCCGGCAGGAAGCAGAGGCGGTGCGTGAACTCCGCCCGGACGTCTGTGCGGCTGAGCGGGTGGAGGACCGGCGCAGACGGTGGGAGATGACGGGGATCAGCCGGCCGGTGCGCACCAGCATGAAGGTAAACCGCCGGGAGGAGTCTGATGATGCAAAGAGAGGTTTCACTGACATGTGAATGTGTCCACGTGTGTGCCACCATGCTTGATAACACCAACATTTAACACACGACCATGTTGATTACAGAATAACGCTGCATTTTATCACCTAGTAAAATAAAGGCTTCACGGATCTCTGCGATCATCTGGGCCAGATGTGACTCGTTTATGTGAAGACGAAGTGGTGTAACTTAGATGTTCAAAGGAGCAGTGAAGTCTGCTTCTACCCATTTGTTCGGGCAGCATTTAGACTTTATATGTTTTCCACTTTCATAACACTAAAAAGCACAAGTTAGCTTCCATGAACTGCCGAATCAGACAGTGACGTCGGTGTAGTTGACTGTATCGATCCACAACAGGAGATTTCAGATTAACCTCAGGGATTCGATCTAAACTAATGTGCAGTTTGGGTTTCGTGTCTTTTCAATAAACCGCAGCTTAGTTAGCGTGTGAAAGAACAGCGCACATATGTGGTTTAAGTGGCTGAACTGAAACTGACCCCAGCTACCAAACCCAGGCTGGATGTTATTCCTCCATTGCTAGCTTGTCTGCTAGCTATGCTAACCCACGTAAACATGTCGTTTTTTTCACCTGTGTCGCCTCCCTTTGAAAGCGGACACCCTCGGCCGGATCCTCCGCGGGTTTCACTGTGATGGTCGATGCGTGTGACCGGGGCAGTAACCGTTTCCTCGCTGCGTGCTACTTAATCTCACGTTAGCGCATGGAGGCGGCCATGTTTTTTTTTGAGCGTCTCTACGGAAGCCCGCGCGGGCGGCAGGCAAACCGCGGCGCAATCTAAGGACACGGAGGGGAGGGAGGGGGAGAAAGAGGGTCCCTGACTGCCACCCCCCCGCCCCTCGCAGTAAACATGTGAGTAGAATGCAAAACACATGAGCCCGCATGGATAATCTCATTTAATCTCACCAGAAATCCGTGATGCGTTCAGATGCAAAAATGCTAAACGTGGGATTAAAAAGGGGGGGGAGACGATGAGGTTGATGTTGATCACGCTGCATGACGCCATGCACTGAATTCATAGGTGCTCTGTGGCGTCAGAGCGTGCGAGGACAATTCATATCACGCGCCGGTTTGCATTGACACTCTGGGTTATTCTTTTGTGGCTTTGTGTTAATCATCAAACAGCAGCTAAAGCTGCACACTGCGTGCAGAAGCCTACGTGTACGTATCTGTTTGTCAAATTAAAAAGAATATTTAACAAAAGCCCAAAATGTAAGAGGCCCTGCTTACTGCACCTCCATCCAAGCTCCCAATATAACACACATTTTTGTAACAAAGACTGTGTTTGCAAAAACAATATACATTTTCACATCTTAAACTGCGCAAAATTATGTAAAAATAAAACTAACATGACTCTAATCCTGCATTGTGTATGGTATGAGCTATAATCTTGTATACACTTTTTTGTGAAAGTAAAATGAATTTATGGGAATAATCATCAACTGATTGAGGCTCAGCAATGGAATAGTGGAGATATGGCTTTTATATTTTATTATTAAACATGATTTCGACTTGCACATAAATGTACTCAGGACCTCCTGGAAACTTGCTTCAAAGTATTTCACGATTCATGTTTCATTGAGTCCATTTCACCATAAAAAAATAACAACTGTGAGAAATAAAAAATAGAGAATCCTCAGTGCACATCTGGATGGAGGCTCCATCTGACACGGGAGAATGATGGAGTTAATAGTAAATGGGGGGGGGCAGTGCCGTGACCTGCAGCCTGTTTAGCATTCACTACACCTGGAAGGCCCCCACCTTCCCGACTTTGGGGTCCGCTGGGGACGCGCGCACGTCTACCTGGATGCAGCGGCGCGTGCGTGCTCCCGATCCGTGACACGTCACTCCTTCGAATGTGATCTCACAGATCACGTTGATTCATTTACCATTTACGTGTTTTAATAATAGCCTCTTTCAAGACATGGATTAAAAAATAATTTAATATGGGTTAAGTTATTTATTTACTTGTATTATATACTATAATATCTATTTCCTGTATAAATATGTAATTACCATTAATTTGAGTTATCTCACATTTATTGTGACTGGTTAAAATAGTAATTCTACCTACAAGCCATCTTTTCTGCCTTATACTCATATGATGCATGTGTTTAGTGTTTAATGTCGGGGGAGATAATCATTTCCATTCATCGATTGGACCTCGGGGGTCCAGCCCCCCCCCCCCCCGGGGGTGCAGCCCCCCCGCGTTAACGGCAATCAACATTAATGTCGTTACCGAAGGCGTTCGTTCGGGAGCAGCAACCCTGACAAATGAGACGCCGTCTGCCTGTCGGTGTGTCTGTCTGCTCACCTGGCTG